ATACCTTATTCCAGATGGCCAGGTCGACCTTTCTTAATTAGGGCTGTTTTACAGCACGCATCCCTTTTCTGAGCAGCATTCGCTCGTTTCTCCCCCTCCCATGCAAAACTACAGTTTGGTGAGTGTGTGACACTAGCGACATCATGGGACAGCAAACTTCTCAGTTTTAGCGACTGTCTATGCGCGCAGTCGCGCCATGGATATCCTTTCCCCCTGCCTCCATTCACGCTGATGACAATCTGCCATGAGATCTTCATATTAATTTTTTTGAGAGCAGTACCTTAGGAGTTTTTATTTTGAGGGTTCAAGAGAAATGAAACAAAGACAGGTGTTTCAGCGCTACCCATTTCCAAATTTCGTGGGGTCTGGTTGTGGCTGGGTTGCTGGAGTGGCTGCAGCTGAACTTCAGTTGTTTTTGCGTCGTTTCCGCAGAGAAGAAGTTGCCATAGGTTGGTTGGCATTCAAAGCTTTCCCAAGTGTAATAGTGTAGTCTGTTTCGTCCTTCTTCAGAATCTATGCCTTCCGAAAATGGCTCGTTGCCGTTGGAAGGGTTATTTGGTCAGTGTCGCTTCGCCGACGTTCCAAAGCTCAAGGCGATATTCTACGCAGAGTTCGACATTGATATTGGGCCTGTGATACGTTACCAGGTACGATATCGGAGGATTTTTTGGTTTTTATTCGCACAGCACGAAAATTAATAGTGCGAGGCTTTCGGCATGGAATCAGAGTAAATTAACAACCCTTTCGGCCCTTACGGTGGCCAATTGCCACCATCAAATTCAAAGTTGCATTACCGCTGCAACAGCATATTTTTCTAATCCTGCTAGAGGTTGCTTCAGTCAACCTTCCCCTTCCTAATTATGCTTTGAACCTGCCATTTCATTGTGTGTTGCTGTTAGTATTACAAGTATTTGTGTACAAGTGCAACAATGAATCGCGCTGGTCTCAGCAACCTGCTAGGTAAGTGTCGCTCATTTCCAAAATACTTGGAATATATTCATATCGTTATCAAAAAGATAAAGTAAATGTAGTGCAAGACCACAAACTTTTTCGCTATAACTAGAAATTTGGATTTTCTTCAAAATAAACTAAAAAACTAGGTAGTTGTGGCATTTTTCACTGCTTTCTCGTTCCTTAGTCAATGATTGATAGGATTCCAAATTTCGTTTTAGTGTTATTTATGTGCTTGTGCTTTATTTATGCATAGTACCTAAAATAGCGAAACAGAAATTCTCCTTTCGGAAATTTGGGGCCGGAAGGGTTATTTACTAATAGCTTGTTGTTCAGATTCCTGAGGATCAAACTGTAGTATCTCCAGAGCGTTTTTCCGCGTTTTCGGCTGCCATAATTCCGAAGGACGAAATGCTGAATCGTCTGATCAAGTTGAATTTCAGAGATTACAAAGTCATGGGTCACCCTATAGGGCTCAGTAAGTGTTTGTTTTTCATGGTTTCTTTTTTCTTCTGCTGGCTTTTTCCTTTTGCGTAGAAAGTCTCAAAATTCGAGGGCAGTATCTTGGTGACTGTCCATCGAGTGTACGTCACGTAGCGTGGTCATGTAGAACTAATTTCTCTCTCAAATATGCCAATGCCGGCGCAGGATCGGATCAAATCTAGGTGGTCTGGCACGAACACTGCGTCCACTTTGAGCATGCGCCCTTCGATGTGGTCCATGTTCCATTAAAGTGGCAGTAGTTGGGAGTATGGGCCCCAGTAGATTCATTTCAAAAGAGCATTATCTCGTTTTTTCCAAATTTGGACCATTTCGCCAGGTCTTATAAGCACGTAGCAGTTCAGTATACCGTAGCGCAAATACAAGTCGTGCGCGGACTCCGAGGATTTTTATGCTGAACATCGTGTCAGCGTGTGCCCACCCATGGCCGACGGTAGCGTTCCTACAGTTAAGATTCATTTCGAAACCCCATCCTTTCATTGCGAAACCATTTCCTTTTATCTCGGAAGTTCTGTCCCAACTATTTCATATCTAGTGCAGCGCGCGTACAGTTAAGATTCATTTCGAAACCCCATCCTTTCATTGCGAAACCATTTCCTTTTCATCTCGGAAGTTCTGTCCCAACTATTTCATATCTAGTGCAGCCGCGCGTAACCTGTACTTATGGCGTGCATCCTACCCTGCTTTACGACTACCCAGTGCTCTATGTTACTCTTTCGGAGTGAAACGTCCTATGAACAAGGGTTTTAGGATACCGCACCGTTGAACATGTGCATATATACTTACCCAAAGAAGCCAGCAAGTATGTTACCTTTGAACACAGCCCCTTTCTCGAAGAACACCACTCGCAGGGCTTTTCATTCTCAACGAGATAGCACCCTATCCTACAGCTACTCATTTGAATTAATTACATACATAGTGAAGTCATTTCTTCGTGACCCCAGTGAATGCTCTTATTTGCGGAACTTGCTACGCTACAGAGTTTACAGTAAACATGATTTTCAGAGCATGAAACGTGGTACGGGCGTGGCCAACTAAATTTCAACATGTGTTTTGTCGTAGCAAGGGAATCTACCATTGATTGTATGTATGAGCCTCTTGTTCAGAAATTCGCCGAATACCTTGTCGATTTAGAAATGGTGAGATCTAGTCCGTAGCCACAGTGGTGTCTTGAAGGGATCTCTGGGTCCATTTCTCACACTTTTTTTATTTAGGAGTGCGGTTTCCTTCATATACCCGAGAAACGCGCTCAATTACCTGCCATAATGAGTAAAGTGTTCACAGATCTCAACACATGTGGTAAGTGTCGCATGCGTTACCTTCATCGTGTAATGTAATTTGCTTTATTTCTTTTAACGTTTAATGCATGCACCTTCTATGTTACACTAACTCATTTATTTCACTTATGACTCATAACCCGCGTAGAACCTGGAGTTGTTTATTTGCTTATTTGTTCAAAGCTTGAAAATTTATCCTTTACAACCGGTTACTCAAATGCCGTGAGCGGTTTGATCGACTGAATAGTGTGAGATTACTTGTTAGGATACATGATCGCTTTGGTGGAAGGGCAGAACGGTTCTCCTAGTTCTGAAGTGAATAGACTGAATTATTGTTGCCGTGGAACCCTTCGCACTAACCTTTTCTGTAAAAAAGAGGAGCAAGTACTTGTGATCAGTATTGATTTGTAGGAGAATGCGTATTTCCTGTTACCGATCTGATCACATTGTACCTGAAGTCGTGCCCGTCCTACAGTGGTGTAGAACCTCCAAAGATTTGTAGGGTGGTTAGGGGGATCGTGTATCTGGTTCTGAACCTAATAGTTTTTTTAATCTCAGGTGAGTCTCTATATGGTGCCTATGTTTATCAGAGCTACACAGTTGAGCCCTGCTGTTATTGACAGGTGTTTCAGCGACTGATTTTTCCAGGAATTTACATTTTTACGAATGTGTCAGCTTGGTTCCACTATTCTTGTACTCGAATACGTATGTTGCAACGAAAAGCTCCATGAGTTCTACAATAATCCATCGGAAATTCAGGTATTGCTGTTTAAATTTTATTTTGGGTTGAATGAAGTTATTTGTTTTACTTTTTTAATTGAGCATGTGATTTGATTATCTTCTTCTTCTTCTCCCTGTTTAGTCCCGCGCAGTCGCAGGGTCTGTGTCTTTAGTAGACGTCGACGTTGCTCTGTCCGGGGCAACTTCTGTCGTAGCTTCAACCTCAATGAGTTCTTTCTTGATCACGTCTCTCCACCTCTTCTTTGGGGCTCCTCGCGGTCGCTTGCCTTGTGCTTCGAAGTCCATTGCTTTTCTTATCGGATGATCCTGTGGCCTCCTTAGCACATGTCCATACCATCGCAGACGTTGCTCCCTTCACCCTCAGTCGGCGGGCATCTGCAGGACCGCTCTGACATCCTCGTTTCTGACCCTTTCCAGTCGCGTCCAGCCGCAGGCCCATCTCAGCATCCTCATTTTCAGCGGAGTGAAGCTGCCTTTCGTGGTTCTTGTTCAGGGGCCAGCACTCGCTGCCGTAGAGCATCGCAGGCCTTACCACTGTCCGGTACACCTTTCCTTTGAGCGTTCTGGAGCACCTTCGATCGCAGAGGATTCCAGTGGACTCCCTCCATTTCATCCATGCCGCGTTGATTCGTGCCTTCACTGCCTGATCCACACTTCCGTCGGCTGCCAGATCGCTCCCAAGGTATCGGAAGTCCTCCACTCTTTCGATGCATCCCCATAATCATCCACGACCGGCTCTTTGCACTCTCCAGAACTGGGAAACTTGGTCTTTTTCGCGTTCAACGGAGCTCGCCCTGCCAGTATTTCCTACCATTTCTGCCCCTTGCCCTGGACTACTGCTATCCATGCCATAATATATCAGGGCGATGCCATAGAAGATGCCGTCAGTGGCCCTCCATAAGTCCCTTCATCATGGCATGTAGAGGAAGAAGGGAGGAGTCAGGGCTGATCCTTGGTGCATCCCAACCGTGACGTCTACTTCCTTTGTCTGGCCGTGTGGGGTGCGTAGCTGCCTCAACCCATCGTACATATCCTTCACCAGAGAGAGTTCAGGTGTTCTCGGACGCTCTACTCTGTGCGCTCTCCGTATGTACTGCTCACAGTGGACGGTCGAGCGCCTTCTCCAGGTCGAGGAAGGCTAGGTAGCAGGGCTTTTCTCGATACTTCTCCATCACTTGCCTTGCGATGAAGATGGCATCCGTTGTAGACCTTTCGGGCATGAACCCGAACTGTTCCTGGGAGATCGGGACCAGCTCCCGCAGTTTCGAGTCGACCAGCCGCTCGTACAGCTTCATGTATGAGCAGTCAACTTGATCCCACGATGGTGCTTGTTCTCCAGGTATGCAGCACCTTTTCTCCCGTTACTACCGTGTGCAGAAAGCGGGCCACCTTGTCCTGTACTCTCCATGTGTCTTTCATGCTTCTATTGGTACTTCATGTGGATCAACCGTCTCACCCTAATCCTCTGTCCAGAGTTGGATGGGACCAGCCGTCGCCTCTCCTTGTGAGTTGTCTTTGTGGGGGAACTCCTCGTTCAGAAGCGCACTGTAGTACTCTTCCCACCTCCTCCTGACTTCGGCTGGCTTCCTCAGGATGGTGCCGTTCGCTGCTCTTCACGCTCTTCACCACCCTGATGTCTTGAGTATTCGGTGCCGAGCTTGAGCCAGTCTGTAGGCGAACTCCGACTTCTCGTACAAGGCGTCCATTTCCGTGTTCTTTGCCTTGGCGACGGCAGCCTTAGCGAGCCTCTTGCAACTCTTGTAGGCAGCGAGGTCCTCGGGGCTCCGGGTCTTCTGCCAGCGCTTGTATGCTTCCTTCTTCTGCTTCACGACTCGCTGGACCTCCTCGTTCCAGAACCACGCTGCCTTGTCTCCTCTGAATTCCACCTCGCGTCTCGCCCAGTACCTCCTTGGCGCATCGCAGGATGGTCTCAGCCGCATTGCTCCATGTCAGCTGTACTGGTCCGTTAGGATCTGGGAGACCAACTTCCATTATCCTTCGTTTGAGGTCTTC